CGCCTTCAATGAGAGAGGAGTAACAACGAACTTGCTCACTCTACGGAGTCTCAAAACTAGTATCTTTCGAGATACATGTTGAGCCCACAGTAATTCACAGAAACAACTAAATTTTCATTTCATTATATTTATTGCACTATCCATTGACATTTTAAAGGTACGGAACTTTGAAAAGTAGCCTGAGGGGCGACAGGCCTTGAAAAGTAGCTAGATGCAGTGACAACAGAAAGAAACTGTTTTGAGACATAAATGAACTCTCACTAATAAATCTACGATTGAAGACTAGGAAATGAAAATTTGCCGGTCCCACAGGGTGAAACGTGGCCAAATCACACTTCCACTTGGATCAAATACTTGAACCAAGCACTTTAAAGAATCGAAACAAGGTAATACGTGACCCTGAACATTTAGAATTAACGACCCTGTAGGCAAACAAAACTGCTTGTAAGTGGGTGAGCTGAGAAGTTGACTCGTCAGTTCAAGTCACCAGACGTGACATATGTAGAACATTAGTCGTCGTGGATGAGCCGGTGCGTGAGTGAGCCGTGTAGATTAAATCCATCACTTAAAACAAGCAATAAAATGCAGTTAACATGTTGAAAATGACTAATAAATTGAACGCTAACGCTCGTGAGAATTAACGTAGAAAAATTAAACCATCATGTAGAAGTTCAAGTTGACACATTCGCTCCCGGCACTCTGCCCAAAAAACCAATACAATTTTGAAATGAGGATCTATTACGCTATTCAAAGTTTTCAGCCAAACACCGCTCTTGGTTCAACATATGTAAACAAGGTTGTTCCTCAACTAATGTACTGGAGGTCTGACCTCTGAGATCAGCATTGTTTGTATATCATGAATGTTGCGGAGTCAGGGAATAGGTGGAGAGAGCAGGGAATTGGTTCCGTATTAGTAACTTGATGTGCACTGAGACCATCTTCCAGATGCCCCTCTGTGCAAGGTTATACATCAGTGGAACTCGTAGGGGTACGTTTTTTTCTTCTTTTTTTTCTTTTTTTTTTCTTTTTTTTTCTTTCTTTTTCTTTCTTTGATTCTTCGGAAAATTCCCGTTTGTTAGGGGAACCTCGAGTTTAGTAAAGATTATCCTTGATTGGGGGACACGTTCAATAACAACATTATTAAATGCATGATGAATTTTACCGTGATCATTTTCACAAAGGGAGGAATACATTTGACGGGCGACGTCGGAGTCTTCAGGTACCTCCTTCTCCCCCACATCCCTTGAGGAGGGTTTAAACGCCAGGGTTTGTTTCAACTTTTCGTCGAAATATTCATCCAATTGTCTTCCATCCATTGACGACAGCCGTTTTGGATAATTACTCATCTTCACTGAAAAAAATGAGTTAGCGTCAGAGGACTAAAAATGGTTTCTATACACTAACTCAAATTGTGTGATTTGTACACACATGATTTTTGGTTTCTGTACACTAACCACTATTAGTGCTGGAAACTAATTCCGCTACTCTAATTCGCATTCGGTAGGGTTGGGTCAACCTAACCTCAAAACTGAGAGAGGAGAAAACGGCTTAGCGAATGATAACTGGACAATACTTTCAGGAAAAGAAGATTTCTTAAAAGACGAGAGGTAAAAATAAACTGACCGGTTCCAAATGAACGACAGAGGAAAGGAATATCCCATAGGTATGTGCAAGTAGACAGAATTATCCTTTAGAGAGAGACACCTTCACACACCCAACGGGGGTGCCACACACGGGAGGGATGAGGCGCCCAAAAGTGAGGCTCTACTGCGCGCGCACGTCGCATGTTTGGATTGTAATTTCGCGGCAGATTCGAACCCAAGGGGCGAGTTCCATAATACATTCCTCTCAAATGCACAGTATTAAAGTAAAAAAAGTCCAGAGTTTTAATCACGATTACTTTAATTAAATTTAACCTCTCGTAAATCCATACGTAAAAAGGGTTTCCTTCTCCGTAAATTTTAACAGTTTTATAGTGAGTTTAGTGATTAAAATTTACAATTTTTAGGAGATTTTTTAAAGTTCTTACTACAAGGGAATGTCTTGGCGAAGATTCTTTACTTTAACTCGCTTGCTCTTGACTTTCACATGGATGAAGCTAGCAGAACTTTTCGTGGAAGGGAGGGGGAGGATACGCTCCCAGGTCGCTCCCTCAAAAAAAGAAGAAAAACCGCAACAATGATGCTGTGGGATGTTTCTTTTGTGGGGGGGGGGGGGGGGAGCCTCTCGAGAAGGACTGGGCAGTGGGCTCCTCTGATGCCAGCTTTGCTCTCTCTCTCTGATATTTTGGTACCCTGCTACGAAATTTCTTTTCCATTTTACTGTTAGCCTTTCATCCTTACTGCTACACGAATTGTTAATTTGAGAGAATAAGATTGAAGGAAATTCATTTGTGAGCTGTCTGGAAAAGAGAATTGGACGTATTTATGCTACAAGGAAATATGTGCAAATGAGTGAAAGCAAAAAGATTAGTGTAGCTTGTGAGCCCTATGCACATAGATCCTCTTGATTCGATTTATTTTCGCATAATTCTTCTCAGCATAAATACGTTCAATTTTACTTTAGCACTTTCTCGTCTCTTTTCTAAATCCTTAAGCTTCAAAAATCTCAAACAATATTTCCTCGATAAAAGCAATAGGTACCTGCACCCGCTATAATTATGATTATAGGCATAAGTCTATTGCTATAGCGTACCTACATTTAGAAACACATAGGTACCTACCTCAATTACTAAGTTTAATAAATGTATGTGTCTCCTGAGTATCTTTGCAGAAAAACGTCTGAAATTTTTACAGGATATTCTTTCTGTCTTGAAGAGAAATCAACGGAAATTAAAAGAGAAAACTGGGATCATTTCTCCTTAGAAAAAATAAACATGTTGGAAAATGACTAACGTCTTGAATCCAAAATGCATGTTTTTGGACTTAGGCCATCAGTGTGCTCAAGAAGCAGTATTCTGATTAAGTGATGATTAAAGTATTAATGGCAATATTTGTTGAATTCGTAATTTGTATGAATTATTACATTTTGAATTTTGCTTTTCTTTTGAATTTCTTTTGAAAAATCTTTTTGCTTTCACTCATTTGCACATATTTCCTTGTAGCATAAATACGTCCAATTCTCTTTTCCAGACAGCTCACAAATGAATTTCCTTCAATCTTATTCTCTCAAATTAACAATTCGTGTAGCAGTAAGGATGAAAGGCTAACAGTAAAATGGAAAAGAAATTTCGTAGCAGGGTACCAAAATATCAGAGAGAGAGAGCAAAGCTGGCATCAGAGGAGCCCACTGCCCAGTCCTTCTCGAGAGGCTCCCCCCCCCCCCCAAAAGAAACATCCCACAGCATCATTGTTGCGGTTTTTCTTCTTTTTTTGAGGGAGCGACCTGGGAGCGTATCCTCCCCCTCCCTTCCACGAAAAGTTCTGCTAGCTTCATCCATGTGAAAGTCAAGAGCAAGCGAGTTAAAGTAAAGAATCTTCGCCAAGACATTCCCTTGTAGTAAGAACTTTAAAAAATCTCCTAAAAATTGTAAATTTTAATCACTAAACTCACTATAAAACTGTTAAAATTTACGGAGAAGGAAACCCTTTTTACGTATGGATTTACGAGAGGTTAAATTTAATTAAAGTAATCGTGATTAAAACTCTGGACTTTTTTTACTTTAATACTGTGCATTTGAGAAGAATGTATTATGGAACTCGCCCCTTGGGTTCGAATCTGCCGCGAAATTACAATCCAAACATGCGACGTGCGCGCGCAGCAGAGCCTCACTTTTGGGCGCCTCATCCCTCCCGTGTGTGGCACCCATGAAACGGTAGCGAATGTTCACACTGAATAAACATATTTCGTCCGAACACTTGAGATATTCTTTTGAAATTACGGAAGAACACGAACTATAGAAGTAAGCAGTAAGTTCGCAGATTTTCGTAAAATATAAACTGAACGCGAAACGCTTTAATCGCAATTTAATACAGAAGATTGACGACTCCAACGAATATCATGCTTGTTTACGTTTCGAATCGAACAGACGATTTCTAACCTTAACAGGTTTATTTATGTTGCTTTCGAACGTTTTCAAGAAAGAGAGGACACTATAAATCATACCGGGAGTATTTACGTTGTCAAACGAGCCCGAAATTTCACATTTTAATTGATTTTCACGAGCTGACGCGATTGAGGCTGTTGTACCGACGCCACTTTTTCGAAACTAAATAAATGTAACGGATAATGTGGCAGTTAGCGTTGAGGGCGAATTAGTTTGACCCGAAAGTGAATTTGTCTTACCACGTTACCACAGCGCTAATTTTACAGCTAGTGCTGTTTTCCAATTCTGGTTCGCGCTCTAGTAAAGTCAAGTCAGCGTATGAAGCGAATTGATTGGTGCTTCAGTACAATAAATTAGTTCTGAAGCCTAATTTTGATTCTACTTGGCGAGAACTTACCAAATTAGTTCTAAACGCTAACTACTTTTTTTTCAGTGTTTAGGTATCCCTACCCCTGTTCTCTTCACGGTATTTTTGATGATCGCGTGTCACTATTCACGTATTCATACTTACATTTATTGAAAAAAAAACCCGGTAATTTCAAGCGTATGGTGTTCAGAGAACATTAAAACACCATTCCTGGATGATAGTGGCTGTAACAATGAACTGAAATCGCTGTCGAGCAAATTAATCCGGTTAACTTGCATCATGTTTAATTGAAATATCATGATGTCAACCAATTTATGTCTGCTCGATGTATTGGTATGGTGTGTTCGCAATCAATTTGAATTCGATTCACTTGAAAATTGTTTGAGCTCAACAACTTGCCATGCATGGCTCGCAATCGTATCATTCCTCGCTTAGGTGATGCTTGTCTACCATGTCATAGTATATTTCTTCATCGATTTTTATCATATAAATGGTCGATGTTAATGATTTATCGTGCATGGATCGTATTTTAAGTTCTCTCCAAAACGACGGTTATTTACCATGTCAGTGTCTATCTCTCTGTTGCAGCCTGGCAGTTAGGAACAACCACGAAAATGGCTCAAGAAATAAAGACTCTAATGATAGTTTAGATCCCGGCAAATGGGACGGAGACCCTGCGTAAGTGTCAATTGCAGTTATCAGCATGATTTTTTATGTCATTTCGTCAACTTTAGATGTGATTAAACGAGTTTCGTTTCAACTCAAAAGTTGTATGTAGACCGATCCGTTACACCGCCTTCCTTCTCCTACAAGGTCGTCCCCATAGATTTAGCCCACTTTACTCAGCGCCATAATTGATACTCCGAAAAAAAAACCCTCGGAAAGCAAAAATGTGCACTTAAAAAATACTCATAAGTGCCGAAAACGTCCATGATGTTTGCTTTTGTTTTTTTGCTGTAAAGCTACCCATCTGTATATAGCAGGCAGTCAGTAATGTGCAAGGGAGGGGCATGTGCGTTGACTCGTTGAATTGCAATAATTCGCCTCAACATAGTGAAGGTTGCCTTGATGAAGAATTTTAAAAGCACGACTACGGCCAGGAGCCTGGTGTGCCTTCAAATCTCAGTGATACTCTCCGCAAAGCAAAACTCTGCGTTAGACAAATCGCATTTCAAACGTTACCGTGACAGTCCTAGCGGTATGATTATACAGGGTTACTCAGTCTCAAAAGTCACGCACTACTGGTCATAACGTTAGTCCTAACCAAGATGTCGACTTGCGGTTTGTGACGTTTTTCCTCATATCGAGGGGAAAACTTTTTTAGGAACTAGCCAGTTTTTTATCCCCTCGGGGGGGGGGGACAACTCAAAAATTTCAAATGGCCATCCCCCTCATGACCAGTGGTGCCTGACTTTTGAATAACCCTGTGTGACAACTTTAATATCGACACCTTTAACTGGACTGCATTTTGCAATTTGGAACTATAGATTCTGGCTCTTCTGGAAAAACACTTATGTGCACAGGGAAACGAATGGCACGTACGTTGTTTTTAAACTGGGCTAGAATTTATAGTTCCAAATTGCAAAATGTAGTCCAACTGAACTACTGCACGTCGTATACATATCAAACAACACAGAGCGGGGAGGGAACATTAATCGATAAAGCAGCCTGGCAAAACTATTTTTCTTGTGAGCGGGAAATCAAAATCTCCTGGAACCAGTGTAAAGTGAAAACGTTTAAATCCGAGTTAGGAGCTAATTTAAGCAATTTTTGTTACCGAATCAAGTTTTACGTGAAATGTTGATTGTGAAACAATGTATGAGAATACTTTAATTTGTACCTTGTCCAGTGGTCCATTGCTCACGACTCTCAGATAGTGACTCTCAGTTGTCGATTCACACAGAGATCCACTTAACTCACAATCTAAGAGCAAGCAATAAAGACAAATTGGACTTACCCGACCTATCACACAAACGGACCGGTAAAATTATAAGACATAATGCCAAGCACTGACCTCATAATTTTTCAAATTATAACTTCAAACTCGAAACATGTTCATTGTGTATCAGCACATATCAGCACATAACTATAGAATTTTCATACCCTGAGGTATTTTTTTGTTTCTCAATGGTTTCTATCGAAAACCTGATCTATCATGCAAGCTGAATCAGTAAAATTGTTAGTCATATAATATCAAATACCGACGTCACAATTTTTCAAATCACAGCCTCTAACTCGAAACGTGTGCAGTGTGTCTTTTTAGTCAATAACTACAATTTTCGGGATCTGGTCTACTTCCCCCCCCCCCCCCCCCCCCCCNAGGATGTCCACGAAAACACCTCGTGGTTCAGAACTTGTTCGGTGTGCTCACACATCCTCTAACCACGATAGTGGCCAGGCGTGAGTGATTGATTATCGATATTTCCCAATTTTAAGCTATGGTAAAGAATCGGTTATTAAGGTGTTCGTTGCGAACATCCTGCTAATCGATTGTTTTCCAAAGGTTTAAATCGCTGATCAATCGATATACATCAAAGTACGCTACGCCACTGAACCACGACTTTTCGACGATTTTTTTTTCGACTTCTGACCGGAGCCGCATTTCCTAATCGATCATGAAAACTGCATCATCACCGAGAAGAATGCCACGCGGTCCCATTTCGAGCAGTGCTCATTAATTTTTGAAGTTCTCCTCTCGTAATTTCTCTTACGGTTCCTTTTGTCTCGGTTGAAAAGGGAGCGTGTCGAGAAAACCATTTTCCCATTCGGCGGAACTAAAACCACGTAACTCTCATTTGAATTCCGTATAGATAAGCGTTTCTCGCCGTGTTCGATAACACAATGCGGTATGTTGCATCTCCGCGCGAGGAGAGAAAGCACCGTGCCGATTCCACCATTAAACAAGTTGACGGGTCGAACGGGCAGTTTGATTGATGATGCTCCGAATTGCACGAGTCGCGAAAATCGAGGAACGGTGGTCCTGTGCCAAAATGTTGCCCACATGAGAGTAGGTGTGACGTAGCTGCCGTAGAGGTTTGCAAACGGTCTTGCACGGAAAGAAGAATGATGGATTTTACAGTGTGTCTAATCGATTTTGGCTCTGTGCAAGGAGATAGGTTGAGAAACCAACTTTTTTGGTAAGTAGGTGATCCAATTCTAGACTAGGCTGCAGTGGCGAGGCGTGAATTATCAATTATTATCGATCTTTCTCCATTTGAAGCTGCGGTAAAGAATCGATTATTAAGGCGTTCGTTGCGAACACCATGTTTATCGATCCTTTTCCATAGGTTTAAATGGCAGATCAATCGATATATCGCAAAGCACGTCGTGCTAGACTGGCCTATGTGACTTCATAACGTAGTTTTCTGGACCTAGGAACGTAACTCCATTCCAAGGCTGCAAAATTGACTCAAACAATTCAATTTTTTACAAGCATGTACCTTTGCAATTTTTGTGTGAAATTTTATCTGATTTTTGCACGGAGTCAGAGGAGAAATCACTGAAATTTTTGACCAGAATTGCCTAAGATTCTCCTGACGAAATTGAAATTTGCGATTAAAAATTTGGCAATATATGTTCCTTTGCAATTTGTGTCTGAAATTTCTCTGATTTTTGCATGGAGTCGGAGGAAAAATCACTGAAATTTTCGACTAAAAATGCCTAGTAATTTCCTAATAAAAGTGTAATTTGTGATGAAAAATTTGGCAATATTGTATTGTAGTTAAGTTCTCTATTGAGGGAAACAACGAATTAAACATCGTTATCATGAGAAGAAGAAAACTCGTCCAATTGAACGGAGGTCTCCTCTGAACCAAACATTAACTCGAACTAAATATTAGGTTTTTGATCATAATGAACAATGCTCCCTACAACAGCTTTTACCTTTGCGTTATTCTGTTCCTGAAACGTAGTTAACAACACGCTTAGGAGCAAATAATGTGAAAATAATTGCCTTGATAAAATCGGTTAATGATACAGACGTGGTATGACAACGCGTCAACTTTCTAACGTGATCCTTGTCCTTTTATGCTTGCTGTTTTTTCTTTCCATCATTCTTTTGTTTACTCTCCATCCTCGGTGATTCTGTATCTTCTAACGCGTTTAAGTCGCTCAGCGGCCGATGAAAATACAGGGAATAGAATTGAATCGCTTTCTGTTGGGCAGGAGTAAGTCCAAAAACGCATGAGCCATGGCTTTTGTAGATCACGCAGGATGCTAGGTCTCATGATTTTTTTTTACTCACGCCCGTCCAACATGTAGCGTAAAAATATATCGACGGTGTAAGTCCGCAACCACGTATCTCGGTTTGCGACGTGGCAGACTTTCTGTCACACTTTCTTTTTTAAACGGAAAACTACTTAACGGCAATTCTCTAAAACCGCGCCGTGATTTTTCTTCTCTGTGCGAAGAAAATTCTACAGAAACTTCTAAGAATGATGCCAATTTGTTCTCCTGTAAAAAAATAATATAGTGACGGAGATTTTTAGACACTGCAAAGGAGGTACGTTACGGACCTACGCCATCGATATGTGGAAAAGCTCACAGATGACATGGGGAGGATACGGAGGATACATACGCTCGCACGGTGCTTCTACAGATAACTAAAATTATTTTTACTAAATGTCGAACGGATGAAGCGTGAATTAGTTTTACTTGGAAAGCAATAGACAATACCGTTCGAAACAGTATACTCTGTTTCACGAGCATACGCATGAGGACTCATGAATGAAAGTAACCTCAGTTGCACAGCTAAATTTTTAACGTGTCCCTTTTTTTTGTTTCATTTTCTCTGTCTGCACGGTGGAGTTGTATTACGCAACGTGTTTAGAGCTCTCGGCGGTCTCCGTAAAAATACAGGAAACACAGGAAATCGAATTAGCCGAGAAAGCTCATGAAAAAAACAGGAAGAATTTAGAGGGGAAACCTCGCGCGGTGCATTGACAGATAACTAAAATTATCTTTACTAAAATGTCGAACGAATGAAGCTTGAATTAGTTTTACTTGCAAAGCAATTAACAATAACATTCGAAACAGTATTCTCTGTTTCACGAGCGTACGCGTGAGGACTCATGAATGAAAGTTGCTTAGCTAAATTTTTAACGTAATCCCCCCTTTTTTTTTGTTTCGTTGTTTTATTTCCTCTGTCTTCACGGTGGAGTTGTATTACGCAACGTGTTTAGAGCTCTCGGCGGTGTCCTGTAAAAATAAAGAAAACACAGGAAATCGAATTTGCCGAGAAAGCTCATGAAAAAAACAGGAAGAATTTAGAGGGGAAACCTCGCGCGGTGCATTGACAGATAACTAAAATTATCTTTACTAAAATGTCGAACGAATGAAGCCTGAAGTAGTTTTACTTGCAAAGCAATCAACAATACCATTCGAAACAGTATTCTCTGTTTCACGAGCATATGCATGATGACTCATGAATGAAAGTAACTTCAGTTGCACAGCTAAATTTTTAACTTATCCCTTTTTTTTGTTTCATTTTCTCTGTCTGCACGGTGGAGTTGTATTACGCAACGTGTTTAGAGCTCTTGGCGGTCTCCGTAAAAATAAAGGAAACAAAGGAAATCGAATTCGCCGAGAAAGCTCATGAAAAAAACAGGAAGAATTTAGGGGGGAAACCTCGCGCGGTGTAATGGCAGATAACTAAAATTATTTTTACTCGATGTTGAACG